GATCGATGAATCTATGTATCTATATACCTGTGTATCTTTGTAAATTTGTATCTATGTTTCTATGTATGTATCTACGTATCTATGTCTAGTTGTATCTATGCAATTTATGTAATCGATGTATCTATGTACAAACGTATCATGTGTAGCTGTATCGATGCATCTATGTATCTATGTATGTATGAATCTATGTATCAGTTTATAGATGAATCGATGTGCCTATGTATCTATCTATGTCTGTACTCATACATGCATGCATGCATGAATGAGTGTGTGTGTAGCTAAGCAAGCATGTATGCATGCACTTACGTATCCATGCATGCATGTGTGCGTGTACATGCGTAGTATACATTCTAATTGCGACTAGCCCGAGTCTCAAGAACCGGTCGCATTCAAAGCGGGATGGATGGATTGCAAAGACAAATCTCTGGATTGTTGCACCTGTCTGGCAGCAACGCAAGCACGGCAGGCCTGGGCAAGCGCATCAGCCGTAGAGGCTCCTCAGGGCAACATGTCGGACAAACAGCAAACCCACCATGGCGACATGCCTGCTTTATACAGGACACTTTCCCTCCAAGAGGCAGTGAATGCTTCCTCTCCAGTAGCTACCCCGGGCTGTCCTGCAGGGCCACCGCCCACCACCGCCACTCGCAGCTTGCGGCCCTCCAGGGGCGCTCCGGCGCAGACCACCACCCGTGCCGAGGCCAAGGTCCGGGGCGTGGCGTGGGGCCTGGGAAGCAAGCAGCCGGCAACAAGATCCTGGTCGGTCCCAGCCCTCCGCTTTTCTCGAAGCTGAACTCTCCCCGAGCCTGACGGTGACGCCCTGCCCCTTGGCCAGCGCAGAGCGCCCGGAGCGCCGCGACGCCGCAGCACCCACGAGACCCGCAGCCACGCCCACAGCCAGCGGTGCGGTGCAAGAGGCACCGCGCTCCACGTGCTGCGCGCGCTCAGGGACGGCTGCAGTAGAAGCTCCGACCTGCGCGCGACTGCGAGAGTGATCGCCGCTTTCATGCATCCGAGCCTTGCCTACAAGATCCCGCATCTTATCACCCTAAAGGCCGTCTGCATAGCTTTCTCACATGGAAGTGTGCTGCTTGATGTGGCAATAGAGTACTCATTCCGGCTCTTGAAATTCTTCGGCCCTCGCCCCATGACCTGACTGGATGCTTCCATCTGGTTCAGCGACTCCAAAACAATCTGACAGTCACAGCGCAGGCCCCAAGTTTGTCACTCAACCTGCGCCTGTGTCTCGCGCAAGGCACGGCCAGGCGCAGGGCTCACAAAACCAGCAGCGGGAGTCAGAGCCTCGAGGCACGACTGACAAGTCCTTTGGAAGTTGGTTGTAAAACTCAAGCAAAGCGCTGGTTCTCAAGCTAAGTTTGAGATCGACTCACCAACAATCTTGCCATTGGCTTGCTGCTCCGAATCCACGACCAAAATGACAGAATTTGGCAGGACGATCACAGCAACGATGGTAGCAAACTAATGCACGGCGGCAGGTGTCCAACATGTCCACTTTTGCGTAAGCATCTCCTGCACCTCTGGGCCGCCCCACAGCTGCAGACACCGCAAGACCCACGGCGCGGCTGGACATTGGATACAGAATGGTGAGGAGCAGAAAGCAAAATCTGCGATCCCTGGGATCGGCTTGAACAGGGGCCGGGCGCGGCTTGGCATGGCTTTCCACGAGGGAAAGCGCCGAAGGGCAAAACACACAACAGGTAAAAAGGAATCTCTTGAGACTCGATCTGTTCATTCTCTTGGGTCTGTGTCTGCGTTCGGGCAATACCGATGACAAGGGACTATGGCTTGCCAAGCTAAAGGCACGTCAGCCGCAGCATTAGGGTCACCACTTGGGATGCTCGTAGATGCCATGGGACATCGCGTAAAGCCTCGGATGAGCTTCAAGCGCGGGAAGGACATGCGCGCCAAGTCCGATCTATTTCCTCCGTTGGAGGGCAGACATTTGGGGGAAAGCAAACTTCATTCAAGATAAAGCAACTCTATACTGTAAATATATGCCATGAAATCCTATGTTGTGGAAGGTGGCATATCAGGCTTACGCATTGCTTGCGCTTAGCCTTTCTTGCGCCTGCTTGCTGGATCTGCTGTGCGGTACTGTGCGACAACCCTTTCGCTTGGGGATTTTCAACGACTAGCACCAAAAAGTGCTTACGCCGGCTTACGCTGTGCAGGATTTTGCTTACGTAGGGCCTTCCCATGACACAATTCTTGCCTGGCATGTCAAGAGTGTTGTAAGAGCTGCTCAATTGCCTTCAAACAGCTTTGTGGGGCCGCCGCTCAGCCCAGCATTCTTTCAGCACAGTCCGGACCCCCAGGGAATCACTGAATCAAGCGACTTCCTCTTTGGGACTGACCGCACCTTCGATTTTCGGCATTCCAGGGACTGACCGCATCCCATCCCTCGGCCCTTTGCGGAGCCCAAGCCCAACTCCCAACTCCGTCCCAGGCACACGTGGTTGAAGCACTCCGTGCCCTGAGCCGCATTCCCACAAGCGCCTTCCCTGGAGGCCTTCTGCAGGGCAGTCCTCACGGTTGCACATCCCGACCCGTGCGAACCCCCCACCCACCCCCACCCCCACCCGATTTACTCCCCTCGAAAGAAACGTTCGGGGCCATCCCCGCATCCCCGAACGGCTACTGGCAGGAAAGGGCGGACAAGGGTTGCGCACAAGACAACCTGGTCAAAAAGCAAGAACGGCAGGGTTGGATATTTGTGAATCGCTTGAATTGAATTGGACAATCAAGCAGCTACTTGACGAACAGCAACATAATGGCAACACACCGCGGGCAAAAGGCACATTCAACAAAATGTCCCTTCGTTGCTTCATCTGTTCCCTGATTTGCCGAAGCTTTTTGCAAGTGCCCAGAAAGGACCGAATTTGTAAGCTGAATTGTAAGCTGCACTCGCGTGTGGCTTGGTGCAGCTGTAAAATAACAACCTCCTCCACCAGTGCAAAACGGCCCGAAAGGCAAACACACCCAACGGCCCAACCGTCTTGGTTTGAGCTTTTCAATATGGGCATGATTTTTAATTGGGAACCCTTTGGTGGACATCATTTGGGTGGGGATTCTTGTCCACCCAACACTTTTGAGGTGGTTTCCCTAATAAAATTCATGGCCATACTTCTCGGTCACCGTCCCCTCAGCCGAGGCTCTTCGCCTCTGCCTTGATCGCCGCTTCCACGTGCTCTGGGCTCTCATCCTATCGGGTCGGGTCAACCGACTGGACCCTTTTGGCTCGGAAACGAGTTATGGGCGGGAACGAACATAGACCAGCTATTCGGAGGGTCCCCATTTGTTTGTTGCAAATCTTTGTGGTACAGGCACGTGTGATGCTGGCAAAGCTGCAAAAGCTGCAAAAGCTGCAAGCAACATCCACCAGGGTGCCAAATGTGATGAACCCCGCTAAAAGGGGAACCTCCTATTAATCAAACAGGGCGTTTTAGTCTGGGGGACCCATTAAGCAAATCTGTACTCTCCATCCCGCAGACAGAGGATGCACACACGCAAAGCCAAAGCAAAGCACGCTGGCCAAAACCTTTCAACACCAAGACGCACATATGCGAAACTGGCCAAGTGGCAAGCACGCTGGCTCAAGCAATCCCGCATGGGCACGAGCACTTGTACGCCGGGGTTATGCACAAATGCTTGTGGGACACCGCGTAACACGCAACAGTGCTGGGCAAACTGCTCGCGATCCCGCATGGCCATGCATCATGCTCCCAAGCAGGGCAATGTTATGCACACCTGCGGCACCAAAATGTGCTTGGCAAGACTCGGAGAGGTTTATGCAGCGGACGAATGCATGCTTGCTCTATCTTGACTTACCGCTTCGAGCACGTCGGGTTGCCGGTTGGTCGCGGGGGCCCTTCACTGATTTTGCGGTGGCCCGTGCACCCTGCCCCGCAGGCCTCCGCCTGCAGTGTCTGCGCCAGCTCGGCCTGTCTCACAATGCGCGCTAGATGCCAGCGGAATAGGTGTCGCAGGATTTCATAGAACGCCCCAGGACCCCTCAGCTCTGTGGCGTTACTTGCAAACCCCCGCACCCGTCCACCACCCGACACCTCAGCATTGCGCTCGAATGCGGAAACTCACAAGAAAGCATTGCCTGCTCCTCGGCCAGAAAGGAGTCCGGGCTGCCTCGACAAGACCAAATCGCAGCTCACAAGATCTAACATCCATGAAATGTTCATTGCTGGAGTAAGAGGCGTTAGCCCACCCCTGCATGTCCACCCCTTCCTCCCCACTTCCTCCCGAGGCTCCACGCTTGGGCCGCACACTTCATCAGAACCGTCCGCGCAGTCCGCGGAGCCATCGCAGGCCATGGCCCTTGGCAAGCAACCGCCGTCGGCCTCAGCAGATCCCGATGTGTGGTGTTGGTGTCTGTTTTCCTGCCCTTCCCACCTGAATTCCCACAGTGATCCCAACATAAACCTTTCCCTGATCTTGAGACATCATCAATGTGTTTTAGAACCAAGAAAGGCGACGTACTAGGCTGATGGCTAGTGGGTGTCCACCGCATGTCTTTTCACTTGGCCGGCCACACCACGCACTTCTCACCAGTAGACTTCTCTTCATGTTCAAGCCTGAACTCGGATACTGATACGACAAATAATTGTTCATCCCAACACCCTTCGCTCCTCGACTCGCCCACTGCATGCAGCAACAGCTGTGACATCCGGGCCCAGGTGCCGAAGCATCAATCGCCAGACCCCCAGTCCCCTTACTTTTACCAGGCCGCGCATTTGAACTCTGCCTGCAGCGGCATCACTCGAGCAATGTTCCCGCATGTGTTGCTCGTGCTGGATTGCTGCCTGCCTTCGGTCCTACTGGCCTAGCCTAAATTCGCCAACCCCTTCCCTCCCCAAGTCCCCAAGGCGGCAGCGCCCCAGGAAGTGAGAATGACAAGATATGACAAACCACAACTAGTCCGCGAAGTATCCAAGCAGTACAGAACACGGATACAAGCAACATGGACCCAGCAATTGGGTTTGGGCTCCAAGTCTTGCCTGACGCACTTTCTGCAGCTGCAAGACTGCTTTCAAATCAGCGGCCTCTCTGCAAGCCGCTGCTTGCGCGAAGACAGCCGCGCCTGAAAACGAATCTGAGTGACCATTCCTCTGCACTTCGCGTGAGGCCCTATGACAAACATTCGCAGACCCAAGTCTTGTCAAGACCGCTGCGCTGCGGAAGTACAAAAGAGCTGGACAAGCCCGAAATTGAGTCTACCTTGGAGTTCATATATGAGTTATGTATAGACATATGAGAAAAACACGTATACTGCTTCGTATAAGCATGTAATAATACAACTAAATGGCACCCTGCCCCTCCCCTCCCCCTTCTTTTCCAACAAAGCTCCCTCCCTGGCCCGCCTGCTAGGCACGCCGCCGCATGCCGCAGCCCCATGAGTGCGTGAGGCACGTGCCAAGGTGTTGGACAGAACCAATTTCACAGAACACTTGCCACTGATAAAAATGGAAGCTGAATGCCTCCGAGCCAGGAAAATGGGGTGCAAGGCAGTCGGTGATAGAAGGGTGGGATGGCTTTCTCCTGGCAACTCTGCGACTCGCGAGCAAACACGCAACATAGCCAGAGTGGTGGGCAAATCTGTCATCTGCATTCTGCTTGGCTGTCTGACTTGAAAAGGAAGGAGCCGCAAAGAATGAACGTCGACCAGAAAGCACCTGCAACCTGCCACCCAACGGGCGACATTGATAATCATTGAGTTGGGCAGTCCCCTCGTTTGAGTGAATATAGCCGTTAGGTAGTGCCCCCCTGGTCACGTGTGCACAGAAATGTCGGATTGCATGTGCACAGAATCTCTTTTGCGTTTCGTGCACTTGCAATTAACTTGGCGGCTTCAAGCGATCCGCCCATCCGCCACCCTGCCTTTGCCCTGCGCAGCCCCCGAAATGATCCCGGGCAGGTCCAGGAGCTGAATCTTGCAGTCATTGTAGTTGATGACCCCTGGCTTACGCGGAGCCACACGCTCAAAATACATCTGAACTGAAAGACTGCTCGCCAAAATTGAGTTAACGCACCCTGAACACAACGAGAAGCTGGCTTTGTGACCTATCAAGCACGCGTTGGCTCAAAACCCTACCCTGCCCCAAACACAAGGATGAAGGTGATGAAGCAAACTCTTCAATTTAACAGCCTTTGCATGCTGCGCGGCAATGCCGCCTCTCAGCTCACAGCTCCGTTCTCTAAGTTTCCGCGCCTGGGATGCAGGTCAGCGTGGTGAACTCGTAGGCCGCCGCCTCTGAGGCCACACCCGTAAGTGCCGTGAGCAACGAAGACTTGCCCACCTGGGCGCTGAAAGCGCAGGGCCCTTCGGGCAACCTCTTGCTCCCTTGGAGTGGTTGCATTTTGATTGTCTGAATTGGAGGTGGTCTGCCTTTAAACCAAACCTTTGAAGGTTATTGGATGTCACTTTGGACCCAAATAATTTAAGCGGGGATTGGGGTCCGCCAAACATTGAAGGGGAGTCCCTATTAAAATCGCAGCCACGGCAGCCGCGGCCGTAGAAATAACAACGGAATCACAGCATTGTGAAACCGCGACTTGAAGCATGAACCTGTGCCGCGCCATGACTGTTGAATGCCAATGCTGACCCCTGAGAATCCCCCGTGTGTTTGGATCTTTCGTGTCGCGGTCTGTTTCCAGGAGACTGTGAGACCGAGGCTTCACTTCAAGACTGCCACCCCCTGAGCCGCCAGCCGAAGGGAATCCGATCAACGCCACACGCGAGTCTCCGAATCTTTGGACCTGTCAAGTCCATTGCGACTGGAACTTGCTATGGATCAAGACACTGGCAACCTCAATGCTCAGTTTCGTGACCCCTGCAAAAAGTCAGGGAAAGTTGTTTGGCTCCTGGCCATGGCTCAAACACTGGTTTGGTTGCACAAAGCACGCCCGGCCTCGAAACCCTTGACTTTGCCGCTGCCGCCGGATTTCTCGGGGCTGATCAGCTCCTCGGCAATCCAACAGGGAGGGTCGCACATGAACCGCGTCAAGTCACCTTTCCGTCTACCAAAGTCGCCAGGGCACCCGCCGCGCTGCGCAAAGCTTAGCCTTAAGGTCACCCAAGTGCTTCGCGGTGGCTTTGTTCTTCTGCGTCCTGGCCCCGATTGCATACAAACTCCCCCCATCTTCACAACTGGTGCTGGTCTGATGGTCCCCAGGAGGTGGGCAGCGACCTTGTGGAAGGTACCGACGGGACGAAACCTCGAGAAACCGCCCCAACCCCCTCCTGGCGATCTCAAGCTCCAGGGTGGCGATCTTCTCCAAGAGCGCCGGCATGGTGTCGCAATGCGCACCGTCAGGCGAGAGTGGGGGAGAAGCAACGGGAGCCGTGCGTTTTGTGTGTGTGTGTGTGTGCGGCTAGGTGGCTTGACGTGCAACTTGCTGGTCGATCAGCTAACTTGGGTGTCAAACGTCGGGCCCGGGCCTGAGTCTGCTGAACAAAGGTGCCCAAAACCGCGATCAAATGCATAGCACAAAGGGTGTCAGCTAAGAATTGGACCAACTGCTGCAACTTGAGCCGTTGGCAGCTACCTGGCGAGACTGGAGGCAAGGGCAGCGGCCAGCCACATTCCCACGTCCGAATGCAAGCATCTCTTCAAACTCAGCTGGGCTCAGCAAGCCCAGCTGCATGGCAGAGAAAATGCAAAACTTTTTCCTCTTTGCGTGTTGTACTCCACGGCTGCCGGCCAGTCGCACGTGGCCTGCCACGAGGGGTTGCCCAAGAAACCGTCCGGCAACGCAGGACTGGGTCCCGGGCTGAGCTTCACAAGGGCCAAGTCAGCCCCCAATTCCCACGCTCGACCAAGCCGGGGTGCCAAGTCCTCAGGCTTCCCCAACGACTCATACAAAAAACGAAAGGCCTCCCTGACCCCAAATGGAAATGCAGCAACAAAGGATCTAAGCTGTGGGGGCGCAAGGCAAGATCAAATCTCATACCGCGCTACTCCAGGCAAGAGGCTGAGACGCTCCGCATGCAGACTCCTCACCCAACCCCTGTGCCCCAAAGTTTCTCTGATGCCAATGTGTTTCTCCAGTGCCACCACTGTTCCAATGCTTTTGGGGCTCACGTGTCAGACACTCGAGGCAGGCCCAGAGACAGGCACACCCTAAGGCAGCAAAAGTGGCCGAGCCGGCAACCCGTCAACGCCCCGATTCCCCGTTCTCATCCGAAGCGCTGTCTGTGGAGCGTGTTCTGCTTGCTGGTGCGTCAAGGCCTTGGCGCGGACATGCAAGGGGCAGGCTTGGCGTGGCATGGATCACCCGAAATGGGTCTGGCGCAAGCCCACAAGTTGCTTGGTGATGGCAAGGAGCAGAATCCCGCCAACATGCCCAATGCATTACATAGCAAAACAAACATCATGTGTTCAAGAGGGGTGCAGCACTTGCGACCTGCCACTCACAAGACGAAATAGGATTACAACCACTACAGCAAAAGGATGTGGGACGGCGCTGTGCACATGCTTGCTGTGCGGCTTGCACCCGCCGTCACATTGATGACAGCACTGGCAATGCACCAAAAGTGCTAGATACGTTGCGACAAGTTGCGGCCAAGCAGCCCAGCGGTCCTCTGCTGTCAAAATGCTGCTGGCAAGCCACAAGGAAGGCCCTCAGCATCAGTCGTTTGCCATAAAGAAAGATCTTTTGCAAAGCTAGTGGGACTGGGACTTTCAAGATCATTCTTCAGCCTGCTGGCAAAGCGGTAAATTGTTACAGCCCCAAACGCAGCAACGGCAGTCCTCTCACAATGAGCGGAGGCTGGGAGACGCAGAACACGCAGAAACACATCCACTGCGTGCAAAAAGAGTGGGTTGTTTAATCCTTGTCCAATGCCTTAAATGCAAAAGTGGACCAAGCCTACCCTTTCTTGCCCCAAGTCCTCTTCGTTAGTGTTACCAGCAAGCTGAAAAGCAGCATGTCGTGCAGGTCGGAACGCCCCCAAACACAAACCTCAAGCCAAGCCTTTCCAAGGCCAGCTTTCCGGACAAAGCAGGCTCGGTGACCCATGGGTGCGTAAAGTGAGCTAGCACGAAAGGCCCTCCACCGGAAAACCGCAGAAATCCAGGAACCTGCAAAACCGTGACCCGTGCCTTGCGCTGCACACGGCGGCGGCATCGGCGCCGCTCAGCATAGCCGAGGCCTGAGCCAATGGAATCGTCACGAAAGGTTCCATGCTAAAGATGCCACAGCAGCGGCGAGAGGCAAAGGAACAGACGTCCCACCTTCTAGAACCCAAATACCTAATATCTGATCCCATGTTCTCGACGGGTACTGCAAAATGGCATCTCTGTCCTGGAATTCCCGGACCTTACCCTGCCAGGAACTCTCAGCCCCATGCCTTCCAGGGGCCCAGCACCCTTCAATTTAAGCCACCTACAAGTCACCAAGCCTAAACCCACCGTGCAACAATCTCAACAAACCTTCCCAGCCATAAGCCCACCTGGGCCAATCCCAACCACGCGTCCGAAACCCCAGTGCCTCACACTCCACTGTCCAACTGCAAATTGCAGCAAAACAAAGCACAATGAAAGCAAGGCTAGTATTTGGGGTGGGTGTTGAAACTAATGAAAGAGCGTAGAAGAAACTCTCCCCTACTGCCCTTTCTGTCCCAATTTCCCAAGACCGGGCGGCATGTCATCTCCTTCTCATGGGCCAACTGGCGCCATGGCAGCGCGGCTGGCCTGTGGAAACTCTTGCCAATGATTGGCGAGGATGGCATCCGGAACTGACCAGTGGGATTCGGAAACTGGAAATGCGGCATTTGGAAAAATCGGAAACTAAAAAGTAGTATTCGGAAGCCAGTGTTTGGCAAATTCGGAAACGCAGTGGTCGGAAACTCGGAAACTCGGAAACTGGCATGCGGAGAGTGCACAACATGGCTTCTCCTGCAGTTGCATGTCTGAAAACCACTTCGACAACTTGCACATCACTGGGTGCATTGGGTTCCAAGGAAACTCGTCTTTAAGGGCGCCGATCTTGGTCTGGGCTCTCTATCTTGCCTACTGAAGCACGATTTGTGGAAAAACATTGGCAAGCATGTGTACGGAGCTGAGGCGGCGCACGTGAGCGGGCGCGCTTGGATGCAGTGCTGAGTGCGTGCAGTTGGGCATGGAGGTTGGATGCAGTGCTGAGCGGCTGCAGTTGAGCGTGGATGCTAATCATGTGGCAGGGCTGCATGCAGTGCTGAGTGGGTGTTTCCATGAATCCAACTCTGGCAACTTCTGAATCGCCAGTTTCGGAATCCGTCTTTGGCAGTTTCTGACTCCGACTCTGGCAGTTTCTGAATCCCCGGCTTCTGAAGCCGACTTGCTAGTTGCTGATCCTAGCTTCTGAATCTGACGAAGTTTCTGAATACGACTTTGTTCTGCTTTGGGCAGGAGGCTCGGCTAAAGTTCGGCTCGCCTCGCCCGGTTCTCAGTGAGTTTTAGCTGACAATTGGGCGAGACAATCTGCCAATCAGACTTGCCTCGTCAAGGATCCAAATCTTAAAGCTAAACGACGCCGAACAAATGCAGCCAGGGCACGTATACGGAAGAGCGAGCTTCACCATGCCTTGGGCAAGTAATGCTGTCAGAGTGCTTGAACCACCCTCTCCCGGCCCAATGTACATACCTCCGCAATCTTCCCCTTTCCCTAGTTACAACCCTACCAACAGCTCCCAAAGGCTCTGGTGCAGCCATGTTGCTTGTTCGCCGCTTGAATGGCAGGGCCCCTTCAGGTTGCACACTGAGATGGCCAGCACCTGTTTTGGCTGGGAAGCCGACAGGCTGTGCGAGGAGTATAGCGCCCAGCGGGGCTGCTGGCTTTTGCTTCGACAGCTCTGGTGTGGCACGGAAGGTATGAAGCCTGGACATTGTCAAGCATCTCAGGAAGCGTGGCGCTGACAGTTGGCATGTGGACAAGGCATACCTGCAATTGTTCAGTGGCCGATGCCAGGATCGTGTCAAGAAAGCATGGGGCGTGTCATTGTCCACGTCAGTTGCAGTAGTGCATGATGCTAGCGCCTTCGCTGGCATTGCTTTGCTAGCAAGCATGGTACAAGGCATGACGGCCACTTCCACAAATCACCAGAGGCTTGGCACGCAGCGGAAGGACGGCTAATGACAGTTGAAAGCAATGCGCACTGGGCAGCTCAGTGCACACAACAAGGTAAAGATTGTAAGGATCGGAAGTCGTGGGTCACTGAAGCAACGCGAAGGGTGCGTGCAAGACTTCAAGACATACAAAGTTTGTATGAGATCGGTGTTTCGGATAGACTGCATCAGCAGGTGCACATGGCCGAGAAAGCCAGTGCAAATAAAGGTTCTTGATTGCATGAGGGTGCCTTTGCTGGAAGAGGTCCAAATCGTTTGGGATACACTTTCTACCTGTGCGATGGTTCACGGCGATTTCAATGGGGTGAGGGCCTGCTGACGCAATTGAACCTTTGCGACTGCCTGCTGGCGGCAATCTCTTGAAAGAAATGCCAGCACCCATCGCAATTGAAAATACGACAAGCCGGTCATTAAGCGGCCTCAATCCTGGTTCAAGAGCAAGAGTCTCAAGTTTAATGGTGCACTGCTGTTGTTGGCACAATGCCCCCATCGCCTTTGCACTTGCATTGCTGATCATGCGCTGTCCCACGCCGCTACAGCGGCAGGCACCAAGACTTCCTGGACTTCCCATTTGTCTGCCGCATAGGCCGCAGCGATCATGGAGAACATCCGCCTTCCTGCCTGAGGGACAACTCTGCATGCGAGCTTCTTGGCCACCGCCCGTTTCCAAACGCCACGCCCGGTGTAGGTCTGGGTTCTTTGCCTCGCGCACAGTTTGCACTTCTCACATCTCGCACGCGCGGCCAATGCGCACCTTCTTCGCAGGATGCACGGCATGCTCTGCCTTTCTCCGTTCAAAGAGATGCCAAGTGGTGCTGGCAAGGCCAATATACACGGCACACTCTGGGAGCCCAAAAGGATGTTACGTCTGGGGGCCAGCACCGCTGACAACGCGCCAAACCCAAGCCGAATCAGGAAGGGCAGGGGTCGGGATGTTTCTCTTCTCGGTCTCTTTGGAATACTGGCAAGGGCGGGCAAGGCGCCTGACGTGCAATAGACGGGCCTGGGCAGTGGAAGAGCGCAGCATCTTGGAGCAGATCTGAGGTGAACTCGACAGGGCAAGTGCATCCCAACAGCTTGATGCGAGAGACAAGCACAGGGCTCACCACGGTCTTCGGGCAAGTACTTCCAGCCAGGCCCACACCAGGAAAGCTTTCAGCTAAGCACATGTATCTATTCACCAGCTGCGCAGAGAAAAGCAACGCGGAAGTGTCATTGAAGCGAAAGAAGGCAGGGTCTGTCAACAGACAACTGGCACTGTCTGTCCAGTTGCAGGCTCGGGCGCACCTGACTGCCGCCGCTCCGTGCCTGCAAAAGGGCACCATCTGCCAAACAGGCAACATGGCCATTGAACTGCAGCAAACTTCTCAGGCTCGGCGTGACCGTATACACCTTGCTGGCACTAGGTTCCCCAAATGCTCTCAGGATGAAACAAGGGGGTGTAAAATGTGAAAGTGCCTTGCAGCATGTTGAAGAGAAAGGGGCTAGCACTTGCATGAGCTGCGATGAAGCTTTGAACATGCTGCAGCTCACCGCTTTAACTTTGCTATGCCGGCAGCTGACACTAAACGGAATTCTCTCCTGGACACCGTTCAGCGCTGCAAATCGATCAGGCAGCTTGTGCAAGACGCACGTCTTCAGCGAGGCCACTGCCATGTCGCCAATCATTCCTCCTGCAAACCTGACGGGTGTGCCAAGAACTTTGATCGCGATGCAAGGCTCGCAAATGGCAAGCGCACGCTGCAAGCACGCGGGCAAAGCAAGCTGTGCCGGAAATCGATCGAGCAGAACAAAACTGCCTGCAGGCCCGCAAGTTTGCAGCACGCCTTCGAGAACACCTTTGCCCTAACTCCAGCCCTTGAAATTTCAATCGTGGAGCCAGCACGTTCCCTTTGGATCTCCAACGCTGCAACGAACGGCTTGGCAGCCTGGAACGTGTGACCTGCCCAGGACACAGCGATTGCTGCATCCATCACGACAGAAGTTCCATGACATTCACGAAATGCCACCAAAACTCGTGATGAGGCAACCGCTGTTAGACTGCAGGAAGCAGCCGGGGTGCCCCGCACACAATGAAGGCTGGCATTGCGCTCGCTTAACTCCATGGGCTGTCGCCAAAAAGAGGCTTTGGAAAAAGGGCTCCAGGATTTCAATCCAGTGGCGCGGACAAGCTGGCACCAACAAGTTTGGCTCGTGGACCGTGCTGCAAGTGTGGCTGGGGCCGCTGATGGCTGTGGGAACCCTGCATTCAGGCAGGCGTGGTCCAAAAGACCCTCTGCCAGTATGGCATAGGTTACTTTCCAGAAAAGAGTGCAGCGCACTCGAGTAAGCACCTGTGGACTTGCCAACCGTGGCGAGGGGCACCGGCCGGAGCCTTGAAGTGCTGCAAGTGCACAACCTGCCTCAGAAACCACCACCAAAGCCTTCTGCCTGCATTTGATTGGACGCCAAATTCTGTTCTGGTGGATTTGGAGGGAAGGCTGCGGGCTGGGCATGCAAACAGCCTGAGGAGCGGGCTTCGGGGCAATCATGCTTGATGCAATGCGCCAATGAACGAAGCCTTTCCGCACATTCATGCATGCCACATCAGCCAAGTAATTCTCATGCAACTGCTTTTCCAAAACCTTTAATGGCAGAAGGTGTTGGCTCCGGTTGACATGGATGACTTCGGGATGGCAGCACGTGCGCTGGCTTGCCGCGCGATCAATGGATAGGCCGCAGCTGGCTCTTGAAACATCAGCCTTCGAGATAGGCAAAGGTGTTTGTTAATGGAACCCACAAAGTTTCCGGTCGCGCCACCCTCAGCATGGGCACCTCAACGCAGCGTAGCTGGGAGGTAACTCCGAGAAGCTTTGGAAATGCTGCCGTGTGAACGCAGCCTAGCCTCTGGAAGCAACAGAGGCCCTCAAACGACTTTGGTTTGGGCTTCAGGCATGCTGTGGTGTCTTTGATCTGCCTTGGCCCCAAGGCTGTCACGTTACTGAACCTCCAAACGGGCAGGTGAAGCCTCCAAAACCGCTGCATCCTCAAAGATCAGGAGCTTGGGAGCCTCCCAATCCTCCCACCTCTGCTGTCTAAGGCCGCCTATTGTAATGGCACTGTCTGAACCATGCCTTTCGAGCTTGTCCTGCCCCCATCATCGATGCGCAACGTGCTTGGGACAGGGGGGACACAGTGGCTTGGATGCAAGCGGGCCAGAAATGACCGGCATGCGAGGTGCTGTGCACGTGCCAGTGCCACCGGCTGCAAAACAGGCAGCCGAGTTGCCGCATCTTCGCCTTTGTGATGCGAGGGGGTGCAACACACTGCTGTGTCACAACAACTAGGCAATGGGAGGCCCAAGACCGCCAAGACTTGACTGCCTGCGTGGCAAAGTCTGTGCGCTGGCTTGGGCATGATTCTTTGCTGCGCTAAGCGTTTGAGGCGGCCGAATGCTCGGCAGCATGCGTCAGACCTATGCAGCTGCGGGCGCTCCAAAAGGCACACCGAACTGATGTGGCGCGGTGCTTGAAGCAAGCAGGCTGCAGGAGCAGGTGTCAAGCAAGCCTCAAATGCCAGTTGTGGCCCGACAAGCCATGAGAGCTGAGTGCGAGTGGCATAAATTAGGTAGAACTCACACATGGAGCCTGCAGGCGTGCTGCTCGCGATACAGATAGCTGCTGAAACTGCGGAGCAGCCAGTCAAGCGGGGAGCATCACCAAAGCAATTTCTGACTTGACGAGTTTGGCTGCTCTGAAAGCCGATCATCTGGCAAGCCCTCACATGTGACTCAGTGAATTGCAAAGGGATCAGACCCGTCAGCATTGGAGGATGACGCGTCCGTCATGGACATGGACAGCCGCAGCATCCTCATCGACGCCAAGGCTCAAGCCATGATAGTCCAGCTGCACTTGGCTAGTCACAGTGAGCACCCGCAGTGCAACACCTTTGTGGTGCTTGCAACCCAAACTTGTCAAGGCTGGGGCACCACGAACTTTCCAAGAAGCAGGCTGTGCCACAGCCACCTGCAAAACAAAGGCAGCTGCTGGCAGCACCTGCTGCACCTGAGGAAGTTGCATTTCCGATGCCAACATGGCAAGCAAGCTTGCGATGGCTTGGGACTGGGAAGGCATCCTCACCAGCTTTGCGTTCTGGGCCGAAGTCGCCTTGATGAGACAAGAGCGCCTCTCCCCCCGCCTAACTAACGTAACTGTTGTCTTGCATGCGGCAGGCGATGGCTTCAATTTCAAGATTACCTGGACACACCGCGAATGTGATTGACAGAAATTGGGTGGAAGTTCAATGCTTTGCTGACATGTCCTGCGTCCGAAGCCAGCCAGTCAGGAGACATGAATTTTGCTAGCAGCTGAGCTCGCTGGACAGGCCAGTAGAATATCCTCGTGGTTTGCTAATTGTCCTTGCTTTAGGGAAGGCGCTCAGCACAACCACATGTTTCCTGCAGCCCCCCCCAAACCGCAAGACCTGTGTGTGTGCTTGTGGAGAGCTGTAGGGCTTGGAGAGTGCGCCTTTGCTTGTTTGCGGACCAGGTGGATAACAACATTCTCTCGTGCACACGCTGTCAGCTTCGCACCGCCGGCTACGCGAGCCGCGCTGGCCACACCAGCCATGCTGCTAACAAGCCCTGCCTACCCAAGGCAAGCCCAGAGCCCAGACCATGCCATGAGGCCGTTTCCTGGATCAGGCCCTGTCCAGAATCCTGCCAGCTGGATTTTGGTTCTTCTCTTCCTTTTCCATGCAGCAAGCCGAAGGTCTTCGCCAGAGCACGTGCAGCGTCTTGAGAGGCTTGCCACTGCTGCCGTTGCACATGCTACAAATCTGTCCGAAAACCACGTCAGGGATCTGCGATCTGCCTTTCATTGCTGGCGGACGTCTGTTGCACATGCTCTGCCGCGTGTTGTCGGCGAAAGTCTGGCAACCACAGATGCAAAAGAACCGATGTCCATCACCCCTTGGCAGGCACAGCCGGCACACCCAGGCCTTGCTGAAAGCCACTGAATAAAATGCTGAAAGTACACAGTCGCTTCACAATCAAGCACGTGCATATTCAGACGAAGCTGCGCCTGATCAGTCGACAGAAACCCACATCTCTCGCTGCACCTGCTGGCCACGGCTGTTTTACTGCAGCACGGCAACAAATCCCTTCGGGTAGGCCGACTTTGCCGGATTGGGTGCAAAGATGTGACACGGGTACTGAGCGAAGATGTGGCAGCCAAGCGAACAAACGGCCGGGGGACCATTTGCTTGGGTGCTTCCGATTGGGATGCAGCTGGGATCTGGAAGTTGACACTCTGAAAAGCGTGGAATGACGGGGCTGTGCAACTGACACAAGAAGCATCATCCAGGATACCTACTGGCAGCGCCCAATCAGTTGCCATGCAGCCCTGAGCGCATGGTCTACGCACTGAATTGGTCGGGAGCTGGGCTGCAGCTCGCATCATTATGAATCCTGTGACCTTGGAGCAGCACAGGCAAGCAACTTTAGGGTGGATGTTGAGGGCAGCTTCGGCCGCCCTACTGCAGGCAGCACTGACTGGCATTTTGAAGGTTTGACGCACAATCCCGGCCTCCTGGACTAGCAAACGGGCACACTTGGCAAGCAGTGTTTGCAAGGCCTGCATCATCAAGGCACCTTGGTTGAAGTGATCCCGCAAGCCACCTGGGCAAACAAGCTGTTCGGTGCAGCTCTTGCTTGTGCCCGCCAGACAGTGCCTAGCTTGACGCGGCAGCATTGAGAAAAGCGCATGGCTTGCAGGACTGGAGTGCTTCTGGTCACTGCTCGAACTGGCGGGCGAACGACAAACGAGCAATGTTGCGGCAGCAAACGCACGCCCCGAAGGCTAGACATGCTGCTTCTGCTGCAGAGGCTCAAATCCATTTCTTGCTGGGGTTGCCTGTCTGCACTTCGGTCAAGCGTTGCCCTTCTCAACATCGGTCCGGTCCGGTGTGGACTTCGGTCAAGGCACTGGCGAAGTTCTGCTGCGACTATTGCCAACGTTGTTGCTGGACCCGGCCGACGAGGCTGTGAGATTGACAGCGTCAAAAATTGATGCCTGTGCCCCTTTCTGTGGGCACGCTGAGCTGAAGGGCATGTGTTGCAGAATGTCAAGGCGCCCGTCAAGGGCTGTTTCCAGGATGGTGGTGCTTCACGCTGGGCAGGCAAGGCGCCTCTCTCCAAGAGGGCCCAATCGAGCCATTCACTAGCCGGAGTTTGCTCATGGCGGAAAGTGGCCCTTGACCTCCAACGACAAACGCCAGTTGGCTCCGGAATTGGCTTTGGCTGGGCAGTTTCGTGGGCGCTGGTGCGCAGTACTAGGTGCTTTGCCGTCTCACTTCGAGGTTCCAGCTGAAGCCGCTGCAGCTCACGGAGAGCCCCCTGGCAACGACCAGGGCAGCAAAGATCTCTGCACAGATCGCAATTTGCTGCTGCAGGCTGGCGCCAAGCAAATGCCAAAGGCCCGTCAACCTGGCAAAACGATGAAATGTCAAAACAGCTGAGCGACTGCTCCGACACAAACCAGAAGTACAAGAAACACGTCTGAGGCAAAACAATATCCCACTCCACCACCAGAGAAAACCAACACGGAGCAGCTCCAAACTCATTTGCCAAATGTCATTCTCCAGAACTTCCCTGGATCCTGCCCGGAACCTGCCCCAAACAGCCCCCAAACCCCCCATGGATGTTGCTGTTTGAGAAAAAGGACTACGGCGCATTTGTCCAGATCTTGATGCATGGCCTAGTCACGAGAAGATGGACTATTCAATCGGCATCCTGCTAGCTCTCATTGTGTGCATTTCCCCTACAAGGCGGCATCGATATGTTTTGTCATATCGTGTGCTTCATTGGCAGTGAACCTTGGTAAGCCAAATCCAAATCATTCCGGGGGAACTGTCTGCAACCTCTGCCCCAAACACATGTCACCCAGGCATAAGCTTGGCCGGGCCTCCAGGACATCAGCGTCGAGCACGTTCGCAAAGCTCGCGGCCTGGCAGGCAAACATCGAGAATCAAAACGCACATGGCATCCTTCAGAAAGAATGTGACAATGTGACATGTTGCATTTTCGCTCCCAGACTCCCATGCCAAAACCCTGGCCTCCATCCTGCTGCAGCTGCCCGCAATTCTGGCACTCACACTCCCGTCGCGACTGCCCACTCTCCCAAAGCCCTCCTCACAGTACGAGCCAGGCAACCAAACCCTGGAATAGGCCGCGCGGCGCAGGCAAAGCATGCACTGCTTCTGCTGCATTGTGTTGATTGCCATTGCGTGGTAGGACGCGAGTCCTCTCCTTTCAGGCCATAGCCCGGTAACAGCGCAAGTCAGGCTCAACGCAGCTTGAACCACCAGAAGGGCAAACTTCCAGTGCACACCAAGCAGGATGGAATGGCCGCCACCCTCCACAAATTTACACAGGTGGGCTGCGGTCGGCTGGTGTGCTTGCAGGATCCCTATCAAGTTGTCTGTTGAAGCCCTGCCAACAGCAAGGGCAGCACAACCAGGTAGCGGGAGATGACCACCAATGTCATGCCTTTGCATGTGTTTCAGGACTGCCTCAACTTGGCTGCGTGGCTCAAGTTCTGGAACCCAGCTGCGCTCGGGCAGTCTGGTCGAACAAGTTTCACTTAATACCTCAGCACTTGCTGAGGCGTAAAGCAGCCACAGTACAACAGACGACGGGTCGGGCTCTACTAACCACTGGCTACCGGACAGCAAGCCCCCACCACGGGCTTGCAATTTAGCTGGGGGGTTCCAGAGTTCCAGAGGCCGCCCTTACCATAGAAGCAGAGCACGTTAACATCCACGCCTGCATGAACTTTCTTGCACCAAAAAGTTCGGCAACGGCGCACAAAGTGCGAGGCCTGTGCTCCAGACACATGGTTCCTTGATGGGTCGTGAAAGCCGCGGGCCCAAACGAAAGAGAAAGCGCGAGCGCTGTGTCCATTTTGCAGAATCCGTGGCAGACCCGTGGGCTGCATGCCACTGAAGTGCACGAGCTGAGAGATCCCATCTGCACGGCAAAGCGCTGAAGCTGACACGGGCAATGGGAAACTTGGCCTAGTGCTTTGCTGGCCTGGCGGACAAGAAGTGCCAGCAACATTTGCTCTGGGAACAAGCCTGGCCAAGAAACTGAGAAGTCATCAAAGACTGTTGCTGCCATGGCTGTGTCTGAATCCAGGTCCGGCAACCCAGCTGCCCAGGTTGATCTTACGAAAAGGTTTGGCCAAAAGGGCAGTGGAACCTTACACTTTGCTGGATCACGGGAAGCAGCCCTTACCTTGAGCAAGCTGGCACCGAAAGCCTTCGGGCACCGTTCTGTGCACTTTCCAGGCAGGGGCTGGGCGGCTAGTGGCAAAAGCAATGCCTCTGACGGGTGGGTCGTTAGCCTCAGTCGATGTAGATCTGACTCATCTGCACCTGCAATCACTGGCCACACCACCCGAACCTGAGCGCGTGCTTGGAGCTTTGGCAGCTTGAAAATAGGATCTGTTGTTCTATCCCCTGCCAACAGGTGCAACAGACTCAGGCCCCTCATCCCACATACAAAGCGGCTCTTCCTCCTCCCTTTAGGCCTGATCCGTCACAACAGGCCCAGGAGAAGGCAATTCGCAAAGGCACGCCACCTTGCCAAGGTGGTGCAACTGATAGCCGAGACTGCCTCCAAGGCATTACAAAACATGACGAAAGAATGCAGCTACGTTTCAGGGAGCCTGGAGGGTGCGACACCTGGCAGAGGCACGTGCTGGTCAACTGCCTTGCCTTTTTATGCCCATGTTGCTGGACAACTCCTTCTGCGGTACAAATAAAGAGGACGATAACTGTCAGTCTACGCAAAACTGGCGTGTCTGCGGGCAAGTCAGCTTGCAACTGCCCACAAAGGCGTTTTGGATTACACTGCGGTCCAGTTTGAGCCCAACTCTTTCCACGGCGCGGTGTGAAACATGCTGGGTGCTGAAGGGAGGCTCTTGACATTTGTGCCAGCTGGTCGCCGTCATGGCTATCTGCGCGCAAGCCTGCTGACAGGATCGGCGCTTATTTCAAGCCGAGCACAACTATCATCACACAAGGGCACCTGCTCAGATTCACAGTGCGCCCACAGCCTTTGCAGAGCAAAGGCAATAGCAAGGCAAATCAGGTGCTTGCAACTACTCACGCTGGTGCACCGAATTTCACTGGCTGTTCTGAGGAAACCTGCTTGGTGCAATCCTTGCCAATCTTGCCACGAGCCTTACTGGCAACACTGAGTTTCCAAAGCAGATCGTCAACGCAAGCCTCTTGGTATACAAACACAACAGGGGTGGACCTCCATGCGGCGCGTTTCAAGTAGCAAAGCAGAATGACCACATCGCGGCGCGAGGCCTGAATGCAGCAAAACAAGAGGGAGTTCAGAAGCCAAGCTCTGCTGGCTCGGGTGCCCTGTCGGACTTGCTGGGCCCTCTTCTTGGTCTAATGGCAACTTAAAACACCACTCTGTTTATGCCCAACAGAGTGCCTGCCGTTCCCAAGGCACGAGAACCTCCATGTGCCTTGAGCCACGCATCCTGTCGCGGAATGCCTTGTTCGAATCGAATCACCTCGGAGACCTGGCCTACGCCTCAAGCATCCTCTGTGCCACAGGGGGCGCTCAATTGGCCCCTTGCCAGCCTATGCACCAGGCTGGCATCGCACACGTCTATGAAGTACTCTAGCTTTGCTAGGCAACACGCGCGCAGAGTCCAACTTCTCCTGCCATGTGTGCAGCAATGGCGGGGCACAAACACGCCTGCTGAACCCCCATGCCAGTTGCACGCACCTTCTGACACAGACTCCTGGCCAAAACACTTAGAGGCCGAGGTTTGCAGCACCAAACAGACCCAGCAGACACTAGCAACCTTGCTAAAGGCTCTCACTTGGCTGTCCACACGCGAGGCACTGAGAATGGCCCGAGCAACCTTTCCCCAAGCTTGCCTTGGATGCAAACATGCGTCCAAATCCGGAAGCGCATGCCATATCACACAAATGGTCCAAATGTAGCGTAACGGACACTAGCATGGCTGGCCGTGCCAGCGGCTGTTGGCCGGGACTCTAAAAAGCCTTGCATCCAATGCATGTGCTGCATGGCCTGAGGCTTGGCAGTCCCAAGATACAGGAGATGCATCTCTGACGCAAGACCCCGCACAAATCCCAGTCTGCGTGCCGAGGTATGGCTTGCAGGTGACGCAGCTGCCCGACATGCTTCCTAAGCTTGACACGAGGCTTCCTGGCAACACTGAGTTGCCAAAGCCGGTCGTCAACGCAAGCATTGATATACTCACACGGCACAAGTGAACCCCCATGCGGAACGTTTCAGATGTCAAAGCTGACCACATCGCGGTGCCAAGTCTGACTGCGACAAAGCAAGAGGATTTTCGCAAGCCAAGCACTGTTGCTGCTTCAGGTTCCAGTACGACTTGGCCAAAGACCTTCGGTTAGAAAGCTGACCACACGGCCAAGAAGCGCAAAACGTCGCCGGCCTCAGGAAAGAAGTGCCCACTCTTGGGCTCAAGCCACAGAAGTGGGCTGCTTGAAAAGAAGGCTCGCAGTTGTGCACGGTGGGGTGATGGCAAAATGAAAGGCTTGGCACTGTCCATTGGGGCTCTGTTCGTCGGTCTCGGCACCAGTGGCAGTTACAGGGGCTGAAGCCAATGCATTGTGGCCCAAGTGCAACCGCCAACTGCAAAGCGGAATCCAACACCGAACTTTGCCGCCCGGACGCAAGCACGTGCTAATTGTGCAACTGGGCGAGCCACAACAGACTTGTGTTGAGCCCCTTGGCTAGCCAGGACAGGAGCCAAGCAGTGCGCAAAGCAAGTGGCCCATCGTTGCAAACGTCCAACCATGCCAATGATCTTGAATGGGCGAGGCAGGCATTCTGGCAATCTGGCTATCATCACAAGACCCCATGTGCCAGAGGGCAGAATGCGACTGTGGGCGTGGCCTGGGAACGTTGAGACTGGTGCTGGCAAACACGCGGCCGGTCCCACGCAAACCGATGGGACTTTCCTTGGCTGGCTGGGAATGCTTGCGCCTGCGGCCGTGTAGCAGCAACGCATTGAACCCGCAGTAGCAGAGGCTGGTTCCACGCAACTTGTCCATTTCGGGTAAAAGAACCTCGCAGCGTCAGCCACTTTTGTGCTTCTTGGCTGATTCTCGGGAAAGCTGGCGTCTGTGGCCGCATAGCACCTGCAAAGCGCTGAAGGCGCGGCGGCAGCAAAGGCATCCCGCAAATGCAAGGCTGGCTGCTTCGGCTGCAAAGGCTCAAGTCAACCTCATGTTTTGGCTTCATATCGGCACTTCTCACAATTTGCTGGGTGCTGCACTCCTCAGCCACACCCTGGCACGGATGTCGGCCAAGGCACTTGCAGGATGTCTTCTACAACTATTGCCAAGGTTATCACGGACGAAATGGGCCGCGGTGAAACTGTATCAGAAATCGATGCCCATGCGCCTTTCTGCGGCCACGCCAAGCTGCGAGGCATCTGAGCGTATGGCCGCTTCAGGGCAAGGCACCTCTCTCCAACAGTGCCGTGTCAATCCATTCCGTGCTGGTGCGCTGAATGTGCCGATGCATAGTGCTGAGCTCTCCCTTTGGACCGCTGCTTGGCGCACAATTAAGTGCAATGCGCATAGCAAGCCCTCGTTTGCTCTTGTCTCTGCAAATGGACGGATTGGAACGTGGGGGCCAGTGGAATGTGTGTCTGCTATATACCTGTTGGAGGTTGTGTAGAAGACTTAATTTGCAGGCAGCGTGATGTTTAGCTTTGGCACAGTGGCTTGGCAGTTGGGTGGGGTGATCTGCTGACGGCCACTGGTGCGCTGCACTCTTCGCGTCATTGCGGAACCTCTGTTCAATCGGGCTGCATCTCGCTAGCCTTACACAAGTCAGCACTGCAAGGTGCTGACATTGACGCGGGCCTTAGTGACTTGAGCTGCCGCTGGTACCCTTGTGTCCTGGAAGGCTGGCAGGGGGAGCAGCGTCAGCAGCATGCCCCTGGACGTACATCAGCTGCGGCGATGCACAGTCCACGCCGGAGTTTGCAAAAGGCAAGAGTCAGTTGTCCTCGGGCTCTGAAAGCCACTGGCAGCGGCAAACAAAGAGAGCAAGCATTGCGTCAGCACTGCAAGCCGCGCGACAATCATTTGGGCTGCATCCCGCAGAAGAGCACAGGCTTGGAGGAGGCTTTAATATGATGCGCCAGCATGGTGAGCTGGGCTTAATGAGTGTGGATCTGCCTCCGCCTCCTCTGCAACAAATTTCACGGTATGACCGCCAATACTGACTCTCTGCGGGAAACTACGGGCCTCTGTCATCATTGGTCTTCGTGCTAGCCTGCTGGCAGGAGCGAAGCTGATGGCGGCACATGCTCAGATTCGCAATGTGCGTGCAAATCACAATGCTCATGCAGCCTGTGCAGGGCGAAGACTTGGCAAGGCAAACTAGGTCCTTGCAATGCTTGGAGGGTGACGTCGGGTTGGATTGCCAGCGTGGTGTGGTCTTCTACAGTCACACCAACTGACATGGAGCCTGCTCTAGATGAAGGTGCTTGCGACTGGCTACGCTGGCGCCACAAGTTGCCGAGTTTACAACCAATGTTTGGGTGAATGCATAAGCTACAAAGGGCCGTCCGACCCCGCAAACCCAGCTGCCCGCATTGATCTTGCGGAAAGGCCAGGCCAAAAGGGCCTTGGATCACAGGAGACGCCTTCCTTGAGCCAGGTGGCACAGAAAGGCCTTCGGGCACCGTTCCGTGCACTTTCCTGGCACGGGTTGGGCGGCTGGCGAAAGCAATGCCTCGGACGCTGATCTGACTCATCTGCACCTTCCACCTGCCACGCAAACCGAAGGATGTTGGGAGCCTGCGCCTGAACGGAACTTTGGCAGCTTGAATTGTTTGAACATAAGATCCGTTGTCCCATCGCCTGCTAACAAGAGCAACAGATTCAGGCTCCCATCCCACATACATAGCGGGTCTTGCTGCTGCCACTTTGCAAGGGTGCAACTGATACCCAAGATTGCCTCTGAGGCTGCATGCCAAAACTTGTGCTCATAGAAGATGCCTTACGGCCCTCAGGTGGTGCTTGCACGATAAGGCGCTCAAGCAGTTTGACGCGGGGGCGGTGGGTCACTTGGGCTGCCGAGCGAAGACGTGGCAAGGCAAACTAGGTTGATGTCGGGTTGGATTGCCAGCGTGTTGAGGCCTGCTACCCTCCCTGACATGGAACCTGCTCTAAGTGAAGGTGCTTGCAGCTAGCTACGTTGGTGCCACAACTTGCACTGGCTGTTCTTCTGAGGCTTGCCTTACATCCGTTTTCTCGTTGGATGCATCAGCTGAAAAGGGCCTGCCGGCAACGCGGCTGCCCGAAATCCTTCTAAATCTGACATGAGCCCGTCTCATGGCACCAGCACGCCAAAGCAACTACTGAATGCAAGCGAAGGAAACCGAATGCGGCAACGCAAGTTCCAGCTTTTCTCTGAAGAGGGAATGCGAGCCCTGTGTCAGCACTGCATGATCTAAAGACGGGTCGCTGGGCTGCGTCACACTGAAGAGCATCGGTGACTGCAGGCAAGCCAGCTTGCAGTCGACAAGGGCGCGTTTACTAACCCTACTGTCAAGCCTTTGCCTACCTGCTGCTTTTTCCCCCTATGTTATCCAGAAACAGGAAACTGCAAGGTGGCAATGCTACGGATGAAAATGCCCGCATGTCTGTGTACATCCTGGCGCGCTACGCTGACCCACTGAAACGTATTGGGTGCTGAAAGAAGGCTCTTGATTGAGGCAATTGTGCCAGCTGGCCACCGTCAATGCAATCTACTCGATAGCCTTCTGACAAAACCAGTGACTATGGCGACACATATCGCATGGCCTATTCTGTTGAGACTTGCCTTATGAACGTCAAGAGTCTCCTGGGATGCATGAGCAACACAGCCACCCGAAATCCTTCTCAATCTTGACGTGAGCTTTCCGAGCACATCTGAGTTGCCAAAGCAAGTCCTCAACAAAGGCAATGGCGCACTGACACGACAAGGGCAGACCATGCGAAGCGTTTCAAACGGCAAAGATGCAGGGCCGCGTTTCTAGCCTTGTGCCGGAAACTTTGGAGCAACCCTGTCTTTGTGTTTAAGGTTTGGACAGCGGTTCCAAAAATGAACCCTTTGCTTTCAGGTCCTTTGGCCAAATGGGAACGGGGTGTGTCTCACTCTGGAGTTGGGCGAGGAAAGCCACTGGACGCCTATGTTCAAGCAGGAGAGCGTGACTTCTGTGTCAGTACTGCATGGCCTGAGGAGCACAGGCTTAGAGGATGCGTCAGCACGTGAAGGCGAAGTTGGCATGGACGGTGGGCGACTTGGGCCACAACTGCCCTGCTTGCCAGGCACGGTGCCATCAACAGATGCCCTAGGCACATGCCAAGCGCAAAGGCTTCATCATGCCAAAAGCTGGGAACTCTGACTTGCCGGCCTTGGAAAAGCACGCTGGGCCCCAAGCTGCCTACCAGTCCAAACCGCAGGTCGACATGTTGGTGCCCTTCAGCCAACAGCATCGTGTGCTGTGCTGCTGGGATTCTCTTAAGTCGCACCGGGAAAGTTGGAGCAAAACATCCGGCAGCCATTTTGACGCACTAGATGCTGGTGCCCATGTGCCAAGAAAGCGTTATCCCGGACCCCAAGCTTTGGACGTAGAAGTCGTGTAGCAAACATGTTCACCGGCACAAATTGCGGCCTGCCAAAAGTTGCGACCAAGCCCCGGAGTGCAGGCCACATCGTAGAGTTGACTCAAGTGCTGCATCCTGGGCTCTACCATGTCCGCTCTTTCACATTTTTTTGTCGGCTTTACAGTTGGCTCACGTCAGCCGTCAGGATCGTCCTTTCAAAGGAGAACGATGCTGCTTGAGAAAACCGGAGCTTTTGCATGTGCACAGCACGGGCTGTAAGCTGTCACAACGACAGCGCTTGACAACGAAGGCCGTTCAAGGCAGGCAAAGGGGCTATACCATCTTGTCCTTGCAAGAGTCAAGCACCTGACAAACCATGTGATTCGGGTCTAGCGTCTCAAGGAGTCCCCGAGCGCTGGGCAGCCCGTGGCTCTAGAAAGGCACGTCGCAACATCTTCGAATGTTTGCTCTGACGAAACACATCTGTGCAACTCTTGGATGGGCAAGAATCTCAGACAAGCCGTGCGTTTTTTTGTGGCTACCACGGCTCCTTCAGAAAGAAAGGCGAAGCTTCTGCTAGCACAAAAAAACAACTTCCGCTGTCTGTCTTTCTTCCGGTCCACGCCTTGGTCTGTTGCAAGAGTTCTCCCTCTGCCCACAAGCCCTTCTCCCCATTCCA